TGTAAAAAATGTTACAGATAACATTGTAAGTTATAGAGTTTTTTATTATTTACAAGTCAAATAAAGGTAACATAAAAATATTCTGCAAATGAAATTAAGAAAAAAGTTTTAAGGAATCATTTCATTTCACATTTCTATCAAAGGAAAAAAATTCACATTTCTATAAAAGGTAGGCATTTTGATTTCTATTAAAGGCAAAAAATCATATTTCTATAAAAGGTAAATTTTCACATTTCTATAAAAGGCAAATTTCATATTTCTATCAGAAGCAAAAATTAACATTTCTATAAAAGGTAGGCATTCTCATTTCTATAAATGCAGAAAGTTAAGTTTCTATCAAAAGCTAACATTCGAACTTTTATAAAAAACAGAAATTCAAATTTCAATTTAAAACAGAAATTCACTTTGGCTGTCTCTCTTCTATTGTGTTCATGTGTAAGAGCGTGTGTATGTACATGTAGATCAAATTGACAGCCAAAATTGTTTTGTGTCACGAGAAGCAAGAGCCTTCTATTTTTATACCCATAAGGGGATTTCAAATGTAATTTCACATAGAGGCGCGAACTTTTTGAATACAAGCTTTACATTGGTTAGAAAATAATTTCACACTGTCTTGCAAATGCCTTTTTCCCAAATTGGTAGGAGTGATGAAAGAAGTTATTATTATTTTATAAATGGTGTTTCATTTATTTTCTACCCATTCTGATGGATTCTATCTTTAAACTTCAACATTTAAAACAAAGTACATGAAATTTTAAATGACTTTTTCAGATAAGTCAATCATTTTATTTCTTTTCTAATCACAAGCAATGCCAGCATGGAAAAAATACATGATCTCGTTATTTTAAATGAATACACAAATACATACACACACACAATTCATTTTTTTGCCTTCAATCTGATGAAGCCCAAGATAGGGGAAATGCATTATCAGATATTTTTTCAAAACATTATACATTCATGAATGTTTTTTCCAATTGTCATATAATTTATAAATGGTCCAAAAATGACATGTGGTGGGTCTATAACTATGTCCGCAAGTATTTTGGTGATATTTGCCATAATGATTGTTTATCAAACAAAGCTTTCTGATGGGATTTTATTGGTTGAAAAATATATACAGAATTTAATTCCTATAATACTACATTTTGATCTGTTATTTAACACACCTTCCGACAGTGATAGGATGCAACACAAGGTCATGTAGACTACAAACAGTGTTATACTGAAACTGGTATCCATCAACAATGCCTGATTAGCGCAATAAGTAAAATGTTGCACCAGGCTCAGAATCCAAGGGAGCAGGCATCCTTCAAAAGTAAATGAGGAGGAAAACAGATACTTTATTTTCATCCCAGCTTGAAGGCAGAATAGCCTTAAAAGTATCTGCTTAAATCAGCTGGTTTTAATAACAAGGAAAGGAATGAACTCTGAAAATCATTAATAAATATTCTTTGAATGTTATAATAAAAAAAAGACATTTTTGTTATGAGGGAATGGATAAATTATTCAGTTGAACAGTGTTGGAAATTTTTTGTTTATATGCATTTAAAAAAAAAAAAAAAAATCTTCTCTACATGCTTATGATTGTCTCATTTGCAAAGGCAAATTCTTCTGGATGTTTTCCCAAATACAATCCATTTCAGCCAGGAATTAATGCCGTTAATTGATTGCTGTACTCGTTATCTCTGATCCTTTGATGGAAATTTCACTAATGAAGTCGGAAAAGTTTTCTCTGTATCTTTAATCGCCAAAAAGTTTCTCATTTTTCAACATGAAGGAGAAAGACAATGTCTATTAATGGAAACTCAAAAATATTTCATGTTTAATTCATCATGAATTAACGTAAGTAACAAGAATAAAACTTTTGGCTTATCTTTAATATTCTATTTTGGAGGGGGATAAAAATAATATATAAATATATACCCTATATACTCAAGTATAGTGTGAGTTTTTATGATCAGTTTTAGGTGTGGGGGCTTGCACTATACACAGTTAATTGTTTTGATTGGGCTTAAAAATCACTATACACAAGTAAAATTTTTCTGGTAGGGTTAAAGTTTATGACAGAAAATCAGGAATCACTCTATCCATGAAGTCAGCTTATAAATGAATATACATGGTGAATATATATTGTATATATAAATATCAGGTAGAATCTTCAATAATTTCCATTTTTGCTCACCAACTTTATTCTTCAAAAAATAAAATACAATTACATTTTATTCAATTATATATTCATTATTTGTAATGATTTATTGCTACTTATCAGGAAAATATCTTTTGTGTAAATAATTTTTGACATACTCTAAAATCTAGTTTGCATTAGAGAAACTTTTCCTCATCAAAGCATTTTGCAGTGATCAAAAAAGGTAATAATCAGGTGAGGTGAATAGCAGACATGAAAAAGAAACTACAAAAGCTCCTACAGAAGGTAGTGAAGGAAAGCCAGAAGAAAGGACTACACAAAGACAGAGTACAGGGTTATCAGTAAAAGGATGAACCCAAAATGTATATTACAGGTCGGAGATACTAAAATCAAGCAGGTACAGAAATTTAAATATCTGAGAAGTGTTTCTAACAGAGAATGGAAAATGTGACATTGAGATCAGAAAACATATAGGGATGGCCAATGACACATTCCAAAATCTAAGTTGAGTATTAAGAGACAGAAAAATTTTGTTAGAAACAAAGAAAACAGTACAGAAGTTTTACGTGGTATATGTCGTCTTGTATGGCAGCAAATGCTGGACAATCTCCTCAAAGATGAAGAAGAGATTTGAAGCAACAGAAATGTGGTTCTACAGAAAGATGCCGAGGATACCATAGACTAAACATATGAGCAGTGATGAGGTTTTAGAGAAAGTAGAAACAAAAAGGAAACTTATACTTAACACCAGGAAGAATTTTTAAATTAATTGTAACAGAGCATGCTCATATATTCTTATAATTATAACAGAGCAGGTTTCATGCACATTTACAAAAAAATTCACAACTATCAATTAGATTAATGTTTTGTCTTAGCAATTCACAAAATAATCTTGGATGTGATTGAAAGTACTGGGGAAAATAAAAGAAATGAAAAAAAATACAGCACCTTCCTTAATAAATTTAATATCAATATTAAGAAGTCAATCAGAGAATTCAAGAGGATTAAAATAAAAATAGACATAATCTTTCCAGATTATTCAGCCAAACATGCTTGAATGGAGATATGCTGCCTAAATATACAAATATAAATATATATATATATATATATATATATATATATATATATATATATATATTAATGTATATTTGGACAGTAACCTTTCTTTAAAACATCTTTCATTAAATATGACAGACAGAGATTGAAAGTACTTGGGAAAAATAAAAGAAATAAAAAAAACTATGGTGCCTTCCTCAATGAATTTAATATTAACATTAAGACAGTGGATCTGAGAATTTGAGAGGATTAAAATAAAAATAAATAGACATAATATGTCCATAAAATTTCCAAACAACAAAAGATAAATTATATAATAATAATTTAAAAATAACTATAGTGTGTTCAAATGTGCTTTTAAAAATCACCATCACAACAGAATGCAAATTTTATTGCAGTTACAATAAGTTTATCTTTGTAATTTACCCCTTAAGATAATCTTGGAAAAGATTGAAAGTACTTGGATAAGAAAAACTATGGTGCCTTCTTTGATGAATTTCATCTTAAAAATCAAGAAACTGATTAAACAACTGAAAAGGATCAATATAAAAATAAATAGATACAATACAATATGTCTGTATTATTCAATGAAATATATATATATATATAGTTGTATCTGCTTGCCACAAGCTGGGCTGAAAAATTACATTAGGATTCATGTGCAGGGTCTAAATATAAATGTGACTGTCAACAGGAGGATTTAATTTGTATTTTGTGATATCAGCAAATTTAAGAACAAGTCTGATCTCATCAGACACAAGGGAAAAAAACATGTATTATCAATTCATGAAAATATGAGACAAACAAATATGCAAAATAAATTTGTTTTTCTAAGTGTAAGATAGATTTTTAAAACCTTTAATTGTTGAGTGTATGAGTAGACAGTGACAAAAGATGTGTAGTTTTGGTCCAGGGGTGCTTATCCTTATCATCAAGTTGACATATGCCACATGCACATATATATCTGTATAATTTATGTCAAAGTGGACATTTGGTGCTATAATTAATGTAATAAAAGAAATAGATATAAATAAGAAGTAATAAAAATATCTTAACAAGAGGCCATGTGGCATCCATCTTTTGCAAGCTATTCCTTAAAGAACCTAGTAACATAAAACAGATACTAGTCAATAACGGTTTCCCCATTTATATACTGTGCTTAAATTTGAAAAGTGAAGACTACATTTGAAGAATTACCATGAAGATATTTTTACAAAAGGCACAGGGAGGCAACCTTACAGTGGTGGGAAAGTGACTGAAGCCAAGCCACTAGATCAGGACCAATAATACTGCTGATTTTTTATTTAGATTTTATACAAGTGAATCAAGAGTGTGAGACTCACCTTTGCAAGGACATTCCCAACTAGCATCCAGTTGACTGACAAAAATAAAGAGGGTTGTAACTCAATGCATGTCCCTCTGTTGAATAAAGTCACTGGGTGGATATCGTGCTGGATATTTATTGAGTACAATATCCACAGTGGAATCATCAGCCAATCAAAACCTACAGAATAAGCTTGCCTGGGTAACAGAGTGATGGAGAAGAAGAAGAATCATCATCCATGTTTGGAGAAAACCAATATGACCACACACCTTTATATTGGTATTAATTGACAAAGTCTGAAGGTGAATAAACAATATTTTTATGTATAAGTGTTTTAGTTTTGTGCTTTTATTAGCTTTTACAATGATAATATTACACTACGATAAAATGACAGTCTTCCATGTTCTTTATTCTCGCTTTGATTGTTTTCTGTCCCATATCAAATACATATTTTCCACAGTTATATACATATCAAATATCTAATGATTTTTTTTTAAACAAAGGATACGAGAAAAAGAGGAAAAGCAGAATGAGAAAAAAAAGAATGTGGGGTGGGGAGGATTTAGAATGGTGAAAAATGAAGTCAAAAAAAGAACTGAAGAAAAAGAATGAAATAGACAACACTGGAAAAGATGATTGAAAAAGGGTAAAATGAAGATAATGAAAAAAAAATGGTGGAGAATGAAGAAAGTGAGGAAGAAAATGCAAAGAAAAAAAAGAAAATGTGGAAGAAGATGGAAAGAAGGAAGAAAAACAATTTGGCTGAAAAAGAAAAGAAATGAAAGAGGAAAAAATAGAATAAATTGGACAAATGTAAAATGGAAGAAAAAGAAATTAGGAATTAAATTCAAAACTCAATTAAGAGAAAAGACAATGCAAGATTTTTGTACAAAAGAAATTCTTTTGAAGATGACATGGGAAATGCTTTGGGTAACAGAAACAAAGAATGAAAAAAATATGTTCATCTTTAAAAAGGTTGAGGAGAAAAACTGCAAAAGAAATAAATGAATAAACATTAGATGAGACAGGAAGAAAGAGATAAAGAAAATAAAAGTAAAAAGGAGAGGGGAAAGATAAAAATAAGAGAAAAACAAAAGAAAATTGAGGGAGAGGTAAAGAAAGAGAAAAATGATCAGAAATTGAAAATACCTTTTCATTAAAGATTTTTTAAAGAAAAGAAACTGAAAGATTGTGACATGGAAAGAAGAAGAGGGAAAAAGAAATCAACTGAAAGAAAGAAAAGAACTGGAAGAAAAAGAAAGAAGAAAAATAGAAAAAAGATATAGAAACAAGGAAAGAAAATAAACTGAAAGAAGGAAAAAGAAAAGAAACTGAAAGAAGAAAACAAAAGCAAAAAAAAGAAATAAAAGAAACTGAATGAAATGGGGGAAGAATGGAAGCAAAAGAAAGAAGGAAAATAGAAAGAAAAGATATGGAAAGAAGGAAAAAAGGGAAGAAAATAAACTCAAAGAGGAGGAAAAGAAAGAAGGAAAAAGAAAAGAGGATAAAAGAAAAGAAAGAGAAAAAGAAAAGGGAAAAGAAACTGAAAGAAGGAAAGAAAATAAAAGAAACAGAAAAGGAAGAAAAAAGAAACTGAAAGAAAAAAGAAAGAAAAGAAAAAGAAAAAAGAAAGAAAAGTGAAAAGGAAAAGAAAAAAGAAAGAAGAAAAAAAAAAGAAAAGAAAAGCAAAAGTGAAAAGGAAAGAAAAGAAGAAAAGAAAAAGAATGAAATGAAACTCAAAGAAAGGACTTTATTGAGGTAAATTTGAAAAAGGAGAGAGGAAAAAATAAAAGAATACTGAAGAGAAACAAAAACACTATCAGCTTTCCATCTTAAATAAAGATGGAAAGGTGAAAAAACTAAAGATGTTAGGAAAATAAAGCACTCAAAAGCGAAAAAAAAGAAAGAATTGTCAAGAAAAGAATGACTTCAAAAAGAGGGAGAACAATAGGAGGAAAATGGAGAAGAAATTTGAAGAGAAACAAAAATGTAGAAAAGTAGTTGAATGAGAAGAAAGACAAACTGATTAAATAAAGTCTTCAAGAACAT